TTTCTCTGTTAGAATTATTTTCTTATCACATTTACGTTTCAAAACAATTGTAAAATAATTTTATTGTTATCTAACACTGATATTGGAAAAAGAAATTAATACTTATGAAATCAGAACACTAAACAATCACTACCTCATTAATTATCGGCAAACAATAGCTTCGTAATGATTTAATAATTAAAAAGATTCGCGGAGAATATTAAACTGCATGCTTGGTTGCCACAGCAAACTTTTTAACGCTTTTCACCAACCATATCATTGCAGTGCCCTATTTCGTTACGATCTGCACATCACGTTTACATAATACTTCACCTATACGATGCATTAGTACAGTTCCGTTTGAGTTACACATTGAAAGCGAGTTTGCTTATAAACACATCAAACGATGTAACAAAGATCATAACATACAGGATGTCCCTAATTTACTACGCTATATTTTATGTGCGAGTTCTTTAATTAATTGAAAGTAATTTCATTAAAAAAAAAAACATTAAGGTAGTGCGCAGTCTTGTTAGTTAGAAATAATAAAAATAAAATATTCTTTAAATCGTATATATACGTTTCTTGTGCTTGCTTTATTAACATTCAGGCCCTCTTGCCTGAAGTAGTTCATCCCGTAATTCTTCGCGCAAGGCCTTTCATTTGCGATTTCTTCGCATGATAATCCAACAACCCGTAAGCAACCGCTCGTGCTCCCACTATCCCTTGGCAAATGCCGGAAATTTGTGCAAGTGCCGTAACGTTATCGTCTGGCTGATCATCGAGGAACGCGACTCTTGATTTTCCACGCGCGTCTACTATCTTGCCACGGCCTGCAGGTCTTCATATATGCACGATGAGTCTGGTGTACCAGAGGCAAGGCTTCCCGCGACTTATCGCGATGGTAAGCTTCACGTATCACCATTAGCCTTCGGCGAGTTCAAGATTTTCCCAGTTTCAGGAAGCGGTGAATTAATTAGCGCATGCAAAAAAACTGTTCTTTCATGCAACATTCGACAAAAAATACTATTAATTTATTAAACCCTGTTGATTTTTATTCGAGAGATAAATACACCTAAAAATGAATTAAAAATTTGAATTTAATATAATTAAACTATGGATAAATATTTTAAAACTGTTATTGAATTTTCATACTCAAATAGTTTGCAATATATAGCAATTTGCTTGTAGTAAGATTTATTTTTAATCGGATTCTGACATAAAATATGTTTTCAGCTTCCATTATCATTTCATTAACCCATAAATAAAATATTGTGACATGTAAATTAATTAACAGCATTCTTGTATCAGCCTTGAAATTTCATTTAAACGCTCTGACGTTTCAGATCGGCTTTGAAGCTAAACTGGCTACATTCTGATTTTTCTTTTTCATCGTATTTCCAACTTTTATTGGTTGGGTGAATGAAATGCGAACGATAAAGCAATTTATTTACGAGAAGCAAATTACGTTGGTAACGCAAACGCCATCGTGGTGCTCGCAAGAAGTCATAAATCGTCGCCTTCTTCGAAGCGCGTGCTGCTTAATTTTATCCCGCCAGTACTCGATGCGTACCTCGGCGCATTATTGTATCCTTTAACTGACGCTAATTTCATCCCGAACGAATACTGATTTACGGTGACTCGCCCAACGAGTCGAGTTTTCTCGGCGAGGGATCACTTAGATGTTTTTCTACTGATCTTAGCGGGGTTACCGCTCTCTTCATGATCGTGCTCGAGCGCTTCATCGCGAATATTGAATCGTAGAGCTTCGCTCAGATCTGCAATTGACTCTACCGACCCTGAACGATCCTCGTATTCCGAGAAACACTTTCCTCGGACAGTCACCGATGACTAATTATTTCCGCAAGTTAACGGATATATCGATGTAAATTGATTCATCATGTTCTTTGCTTACCAATTTAAGAAATCATTAAAAAAAAATCTTATCTGTAATATTTCGTATAAATCTTATGTTAATTCCACATGTCTTACATGATAAGATAAATCATATTACATTCTTAAGATCACGTAAAATTTTAATCAACATGACTGATCATGTACTGTCATGTACTGATCACGTCTTGTTTTTTTCTGCAAAAGAATCCCGTTTATAAGCGGATATGCACATCAAAAGATAACAGAAAATAAACTCTGCCTTTTTTGGAAATAACAAATAAAAGTTTGACGCATAACAAATTTTTGTGCAGTTTTAATAGATGTGTAAAAATTTTTTTTACAAAAACCGTCTTCACTGTTTTCCATCTTTTTCATCGGATAAGAAAAACAAGTATTCGAACAAGTTAGGATCTTTCGATGTCCTTGAGTTCGTCTCGAGTTCATCGTATCTCTCTTTGCTTTATACTTCGCCTCGAGCTGTAATTTTTTCTCTGTTCTTCGCGAGTAATGGTCATACCGAATTATTTTCGATCACCGCCTACTTCAATACTTACAAACTTGAGATAAAAAACCCGGGATTTCTAATATAAATCAAATATAATCTGCATTATACAATATATCTGCATTATTAAACGATGAAAAAAGGTTACAGAAAATCTGCTATAAATCTAATATTTATGAAAATGTATAAGAACCTTCCACGTAAATAAGTACCGGAAATACTATTACAACACGATCGACCCTAACCAAGAAAACCGTAACACCTACGCGAGAGTGTAAAAGTCAATCGCGTAACGATACGGCTCGTCTTGTAACCCAACACGCAAGGGCCGCATACGTTCCACATGGCGATATACGGTTAATATATGATGGATTAATAAATCTCGAGGCTACGCGAGACGTTCTCTCTCAGCTTGCAATTTTTACCGCCGGCTTCGCTCGCGTGAGAAAACGAAGAAGGGCTGCGTCTGGGCGCAGTAAATTCTGGAGGACGCAAAGAGGACGCTGTCTCCGAGAATATTTCAAATACAACTTTCTACGATCTTCACTTCAACAATTCGTAGCTTTGCTGGCGCTACGTTAGGCACGTGGGCAGAAATGTGTGTTGGTGTATGTCAATATATTGGACACCGGCCTCTCCTATCGGCGTCCCTATATGTGCAATGTTTGCGCCGTTCGCAATTTGTGTGTTTCGAGGTCGCGGAGAGAAGAAGACCCGGTTTTGCAGGAGGCAAAGAATCTCGCAACGGCGGCGAGGTGGAAACGCGCCGGTCGACTTCGAGGTTCCTCTCGACCATGTCGGAGGGAACGCGGAGGAACAGGTGAACCCGTCCACTCTGCCTCCGTTTCTACATTTGACGACCGGATTATCTTCTGGCACGGATTTTGCGAGATTGCAACGAGCAGCTGGTGCAAACTCATGACGGCAATGTGTTAATTGCTGGGGTGCCATGTAATTAATTCACCCTGATACAATAATTACACGAGGAATACGTCGAGCGAGACGCGAAAATATTATGAGCCATAAATGTAACAATCCTTTTAAAAGTTTTGTTATTTTCCCTTTTCCATTTCTACATTAGATTCAATGTTCGATAGAAAATCAGAAAAAAAAACAAGGATGGATAATTTAGATGTTGTCAGATGTTACGAAAGAAAATAAATATCATAATCGTCTTTCTTTGTTTTCAATGGCGCAGAGATTTTGAATGGAAAAAGTGTTACACAGATTACATTAGGATGTTCGCGTATAAGATAGGGTTGACTGACCTAAGCTAATGGACTTTAAGATAGTGTTTGGAAACGTAGGTAGAGATTTGTGGTTATGGGTGACGCGTTCGAAAGTAAAAATCCTTCAGGGCCGCATGGATTCTTTCACAACACTGTCCTACGTTCGCTGGCAATATTACAGTAATCTAAGTTAAGTGCCAGATAAAATTACTGATAATGATGATGAGTCCACATGCGCAACTGCAGAGACAAAAGAAAGCTTGGAAATATTATTCGTAATTTGCTTTTCTAATGTAGTAATAGTTGTTAATTGTACAAGAACACGCTCTTAATGGATCTTAACACGCAAATTTAAAAAAATTGCGTAACAATACTATTTCGATTAATCGCAAAATGCTTCAAAAGATTCTCGTGTGCCATGTTAAGAGAATATAAAGAATATGCTAACAAGACCGTAACAAAAATGAGATTTTAGAAAAAGTCTTTTGAAATCTAACGTTAAGATTTCACACTTGAAAGCAAAGTGAAAACTACTGCTGTTTCACATAATGTTTGTTCATGGCACTTGAATTACCATATGCACTCGCATGCCGCGTGGGTCCAATAGTTTCCATTTCACTAGCCGGATTCGGTGCAAACAGAGCGAGATGACTTTCACGCAAAGAAATCATTCTAGTCACATAGCGCGCCGCGCCTTACTAGAAATTCCGTAGTAAGTTATTGCTGAAATAGAAAGATGTGGGCAGCCTTTCGCAAGCTGAAGCTGCCTTCATACATGAGCAGAGAAAAAAGTGGGCCAGCGTTTTTGGAACAGGGCCTAGATAGATAAACGTCAAACTTGCACTAGAAAATGGTACTAGAACTTGCACTAGAAGATTTCTGATCAATTAATATTTTAAATAATGCAATTAAAAACGCAGTTGCGCATGTAACACGTGGCTTTAATGTAAGTAGTTTTTTTTTTAATATTCATAAAATGTAATTAAACATTTATCACAACTTCTTTCCCACAAATACTTTATAATAATTTATAATTCCTACAATAATTTATAATTATTTTCAGCAAAATAACGTTAGCTCTATAAAATTTATAATTTATCTTTTAGAATTATTATAGCTATTTACTGACACCATTTGTTATAAATTTAAATATATAAAAAAAATTGCCCTAGAATTTTTAATTGTACATTTTAGTTTTATCAATTAATTTCAATCATTATCAATTATTATTAATTTTCAGTATTAATATTAACGCAAAAAAAAAACAGATGACAGGAATTTATACGCATTTCTAAACTTACAATTAGATAAATTTTTCTGGGAATTAATTAAATATAGAAACCAATAAGCCTAATGCATTCTTGCGCGTAGTCTCAACTTAAGATGATACTCACGTTAACCATCCGTAGTCAGGTTTCTGCAACTTCCTCTGAAATATCGCTTCACATCCAAGGAGGACGCTCGAGCACCTCTTCGAACCCACGCGTAGCCGACACTTTATCACTTATATACCAGATAAGTGTCTTCATTCAGGCACTCGATACTGAGGCACTCCGCGCACTTATCGTTAAGTTCGCGCGCTACCAGCCACTCCGAGGATCCCTCGAGTCGAATGTGTACGATCTCGTGTATTTCGTCGCGGAACGAAAGCCAGAGTGCTGCTATCGGGATTTCCAACGGGCGGGTGAAAACGAATCAAATCTGTTTCTAAACGAACCGAAGCGCGAGAGGCGCACTACGCGGCCCCGCGTACGGAGCTGCTCTTCTGGTACCAACTGGCTACAACCGACTGGTAGAATTGGTGACTGACTGTGCGCCGGCTGCCCGCGCCATGGACTGCCACTCGTGGATCCGAAGCCGATCACCACCATCCTGGCTGACCTTCCTCCTCCTTCTCCACCGAGCTACCGTCGACGATCCTCTCTCTTTTCTTCTCCCTCTCCTGCTTATGACCGACCGCGTTGCTGTCTCCTTCCTCATCGTGAGGAAAGAGACTGTGTAAGTATCGTTCAACTGGATAAAAGATCAATATACCTATTTATATAGAACGGCTAATCGTTATTTTGTCTATGTAATCAGCTGGCAAAGATTTTGATGCAACAGCACATTACGCAACGTTGCACAAAAGTTATGTATTTTACTTTTCTTCTGCAAAAGTTTAAATTATTAGAATGAATCTCTTGTAGACAATTAAAAGACTAATAAGTAAGTTTACATTTATTATATATTTCATTTATTTAAAGAATTTTGATTTGTAAAAATAAATTATACCTTGAAACATGTTTCAAAAAATGTTCGTAAAATTTTCTGCAACTAAGATTTTAGTTATTTCATACAAAAAAATTATATGCTTTGCATCTATTCTGCTGTTAAAAAAATCCATAAACTTTTTTCTATTTAATTTGCATAATTTTATACTGTAGAAAAAGATTTAATATCAAAAACTATTCTCGAACTTTGACGACCTCAAGACGTTGATCGATCGTTGCCTGATTCTATTTCCCTCAACGTCTTATTTCGCGTTTTAGGAACGTATAATTTTAAACGCCTTACGAGCGAATCTACATAGAGGAAGGTCAAGGCGGAGATGAGCGTGCAGACTATAATTACGGGAGCCAAATGACAGGATTCACGAATGAGTGCTACGCGATTCAGGAAACAATGGCGCAGAGAATTAATAACAATATCAAAACGTTTGCGATGACAACATGATTTCCATCTATCGACGCCGTGGAAACAGGTCGATTTCGTCTTGGTCGCGGGTGGAAAGTGCGCGAGAGAGAGAAACGAACGGTTGAAGAGAAGTGGGAGAGAAAACGGGTAAGAGAATGGATAAAGAACGGCAGAATCGATCTCGAAGAGAGCGACAGAGAAACCCAATCATAGCCTGGAGCTGAGCCCGTTCTGGTGAAAGCTTGTGCACGTTGACTTTACTCGAGAGGTTCGCTCCGGCGTTATGTCAAACTGTTTCTCTCTGATTCTCTCTAGCAACTGATTCATTCAACATTCTTTGTCCTCAGACTTCATAAAAAATTTTTCTCATCACTACGCGATGTGACTCTAAATAGCAATATTTATTATATTTATTCTTATATTTATTTTTAAAAAAGTTTCTATAATTTGTGAAAATTTGCAATTATCATCGTTCGGTGTACATGTATTACATATACAATAATCAACAGCAAACTATACCAGAGTATTTTTTTCTTTCCATTTTATTATTGAATAGCATTATTTGAGTAGCAAAATTATTGAAATAAATTTAATATAATAATAAGAATGATTAAACATCCATGTATATGATCAACAATTAAAAAGGCATACTTTATATTCGGTAATCTAAATAATGTTTAAACTATCGAATTCCGTATTAATATATTAAACTATAAATTGTGAAAATATTTTCTACATTTTCAGGATACGATAAACTGGAGAACGCAAAATCGATAGTTTACTTTAAAGAGATGGTATACCTTGCTGCCATCTAAAAGATGCAGCTGAATCATCATGTTCAAAATTAGGAATAAATTATGCTAGCAATAAGCCGCGTAAAATAATATTAAATAATAATTATTAGTACTCTGATATTTAATAAAGAACGTAATAATTTTTTTTATTTTTGTATCTAAAATTTTATAAATTAATTTATAATTCTAATGAATGTGATTATAAATCTGTATATTTAAATTTGTGCTACTCTATGTACCTCATTTTTTAATATTATAAATATAATCACTAAAAATAGATTATATACTATTCTTTTACTTTTAAATCTACCAAACTCACTGGCGAGATCATGAAGATTTACCTACAGCTGCAAGTCGCCGCCGACTGCAGACGCTATACCGTATACTGGTAGATCAAGTTTCATGCGCGGTTGAAAGATGGCATTTGTATGTCGATTTAAACATCAAATCCATAGTTTCTCAAAAAACAAAATTACAATTTTAAAAACTATTTTAACTTTTTTTTTATTAAAGCCGTTTCTTCTGATTAACGATCGCTCCATAAAACTTTTGACTATAAATATCTAATTATAAAACGCTCATAAAATCATCAAAAAGAAAACGATCACGACGGCATATTTGAAGAGCTCAGTTCGGCTCGATAACTATCGAAATTTGTGTCGATGTTAAATTCGATAAACATTTCGAAAAACGACACTCAGCGATTCTTGCGTACCGTGGAATTTCACAAATAATTGGGGAGAAACCCGGGATGGTTTTCCCGCGATTGTAACGCGCCATCCAGCTCGGACCTTTACGATCGGTCGACACGTTGCCTCTCATTAAGGTGTAATTTATTCGAGAGAAGCAGAGAGACGACCGACGGCGTTGCCACCCGCGGGCTTTGATACTTCGCGGCTTTGCGCTCACTCGCGCCGACAGCTCTCGCGCTCGTGGGAGAGGCTCATGGAGAAAAAATATATAAGATTCTGGAGATCTCGACGAGATAAGGGTCTACACTGATGGAAATCCATGGGATACGGTAATCCGACTTGACGTTCGTTATCCTCCTCACGGTAACCGTTTAGACCCTCCTTACTTAACTCCTACTGTGCGGTATACACATCGAATTAATAATCTTTTAATTCCTCGCCGAACCTACTGAATGCTTCTGTCACCGGGGATTCAGTAAATTGTTGCGTTACTGCGCTCTCCAGGGTACACGAGATATATCAATAAATTCTGACCGAACGGAAGTTATGTGTTAATCGAACGCGTATTTACATATTTCTCTCGTTATTTTCAGTATTTTTCACGTGTCAATAAAATTTTTACGTCGTACAATATTTAAATTATGTTTTGATTGATTGCGATAACGCGATGTTTTTGAAACTTGAGTTTATCATATGCTACTGCTTTGCTAAGATTGATAATGAACAAAAATAAGATATATATATTGTATATAGTATTAAAAAAATATGTAATCATTATGTGCACTATAATTTAACAATTCGTTATAAATTATCGATATTTCTTGTAAGTGCTTCCATTTTCATGCTTTCAATAAGTATTTTTTATATTTTAATATAAATATCTGAATCTCCTAGCTTGAGAACTTCTCCCACGAGTCATTATAATTCTCATGGAGATATTCCGCAACATTAATGCAAAACAACAACATGTATAATTCATAAGCTAACTGATGTTATTAAAATCCAAAACTACGATCCAGAATGTTAAATCGACGTTCTTGCGTAATACTACGCCTTCCTGACAACCTTGATTGGCATAGATTACGACGTCAGCGCGCGACAAGATGATTTAAAAAAAAATTTTTTTCACGCTCATAAAATCGCACTCCGCTCTAACGACTTCGGAAGCGCAGCCTCGCATGCAAAGAGAATTTAACGCGTACTCTCGCAGTGCACACATTACGGACGCGTCCCCATTATCTTCGGGCGTGCCGAAGAAAATGCCTCTGGCGGTTCTCACCGGGCGACGAGGCGGACGAGACAACGGTAAGCGGGGTATGCGATGGTGTGTACACAATTCGGGAACAGTTATACTTGCGCGCGTACCAACGACCCTTATTTATGTCGCCACAGCGATCATCATTGATTCCTCTCCGGTCGATTCCTCCGCCCTTTTCTCGCCCTTCTCGCCGATGCTTATTCTCTCGATGTATTATCGGACGGCAGCGCGCTTTTACGGTCGGCGTATATCAATGGTTGACCTGAAGGAAGATCCATGGAACGGTGATGCTGGCAGGTAGAACCCGCACGAGACGATGCGGGGACCCGTGACAATGCCCGGCATATAAAAACTTGCGTAAAGCTGTCCCACTTACACGGGGACACACCGCTGGGGCCCGCCACTCGCGCTGAATGGCGCGCAATAATCTTTTATTTATCGACGGCTTAAGCAGCGATCTTTCGCATCGAAATTGAAGCTCCGAAGAACTGAGAACGTCTTTCGTTGTACGAGACTGTGGATAGGTGTGTGTCCGCGGAGTGGAAACCGTTGCCCGCCTATTAGTCGATTCAATTATACGATTTAATGGCGTTCCCGATCGCTTTGTGCGACTTCTATCGTGCCACCATTATTGCGCCCTTTTTTAATTATACGCTTAATCACGCTAGGCATTCGCTCGGATCCGAGTCCAGGTGATTCCGCGACCACTGTTCGTGCTACACTATTCACATCGTGAGACGAACGATATAACTTTGCACACGAACCCCGTTTGAAATCACTTATCATTCCGATATCTTCGGGAGTTCAATGAACATTGCTTTTATTATTGCAAAGAATTACAGATGATAATTCAAAGATGAAAGATAAACAATAATTTAAGATTCCTAAGACAAATCGAAATTTTATAACTAATATTTTACTTGTTTATTAGTTCTCTTGTGCATTTCATAAAAAAGCAATTATTTTTACAACTATAGTTATTCATTATTCAATATATGCATGTTCGTCTTTGAATTATCAGTGTTTATAAAACTTATCTATCTCACCATAATTTACTTTTTTATAATGATGTGAATGGAGAAAAACATCTTTTTGGAAAATTCTTTTCGTGACGAAGAGCGCAATAATACCGAAGTATCTCCTATCTTTAATCGCAGTAATAACTGACGCGCTGGTACACTGCTAAATCGTGCACTATTATGACGCGTAATCCTGCGTAATATTTATGGTGCGCGCGACATGATCCGTATAATGTTGCGTTACACGATGTAGACCACAGCGTAGATTGACTCACCGACATAGACCCGGTGCGGCTGATGAGCGGCTTCAGCCCCTCGCTTTAAAAGCGAATCCTGGGCTAAAGGGTGGGTGTGGACGTCATGGATGATCTTTGAGCACCGCGCCTATCTCGGAGGGCCCACCTTTTCCAGGAGGACCGCAGCCCTGGGCCCCGAATTCCTGTTCGACTATTACATGCCGAAGAAAAGGGAGAGAAAGAGAGAGAGAGAGAGAGAGAAAGAGTCCCGAGTGGGCTCCGCCACACGAGCGCGTTCTCTCCATTAGAATTAC